GCTTTGTTAATAATTTATCCCGCTGCAACTTTTCTTACCATTAAATAGGAAATAATTTGTTAGGGAGAATTCCCCGGGCACCCCGGCTTTCTCCCTGGAGTCTGGAGGAGGAGAGCTTGTCTCTGTGCCCTTCTGCCTAGCAGCGTGGAGGACTCAGGAGCAAGCAGGGTTTAAGACTTAGGATGTCGGTGTCAAACCTGGTCACCCACTCCCACTTATCTCATGAATGGGGAAACTGAGGCACAGAGGGGGCAAGGCTGGGCCCAAGGTCACGTACGGTGTTAGGGGAAGTCCCCTGCATCCATGACCGGGGGGGGGGGCAGGGTGCTTGCTGATTTATACGCTTGCCCAAGACAGCAGAGATTCTCCCCAGAGTTCCAGGAGCTACAGCCAAGGTGGGGGTGGGGCTAGCACTGCTGCCTTTCCACTCCCTCCCTGACCTTGGCTCCTCCCTGGGCCCCCAAATTTTGTAAGAGCAGAGCTCAGCCTCCTCCCTCAGCACCCCACACTCTGAGCCTCTGCTTGGCAATCTCTCACCTCCCACCTGGGACACAGCAGCTGCCTGCAGCCCCCCAGTGAGGTTGACAACTCGGCAGACAGGTTCAAAAAATCTGTCAGCTGCTAAACTGTTCCAGGCCTGCCCACATGCCTGGGTGGCAAAGAGATGGGCTGTCTGCCTCCCGGGTGGAACCTGTGTCTCGGGAGAGTGGCACGGGCTGGGGGCGGTGTCGTCCTTTCCCTTTTGGGTGAAGGGCACAGTTTCCCAACTTGTCTCAGAGCTGGGGCTTCTTGTCCTGCTGCAGAGCTCCGTGATCTTGGGACGTCTCTCAGTCTTTTCTTGTTTGTAGAATGTAAATAAAAGGATTCCAGCCTTGAGGAAGGCTGAGCAGCGGGGGTGGGGTGACTCCCAAGGTGTTCTCTGTGCAGGGCGGGCTCCGAGGGCGTACGGCAGAAGTGGCCCGTCTTCCTGTTGGTTGGAGCCACAGGGCCAGACCACGGTCATGGCGCCCTCCCTGCATCCAGACCAGCTGTTGAGTGCCACCAGGGGGCTTGCCACATGGCACTTGGTGTCATTCTTATAGCAACTCTGAGGGGTCCAGGTCATGGCCTTCATGGGACTTCCATTCATCCCACAAGACCTCCCAAGTGCCCAAGGGATGCCAGGAGCTGGGGCCACAGTGAGAACGGAAGTGGAGGAGGCTGCTGCCCTCGGGAGCTAGCCCTCCAGCCCAGGAGCTCACTGGGCAGGGGAGGTGAGCTATCTTCTCCACGTCTCTGGTGGCTGTCCCTCCATGGGCTCCTTGGTTAGTGGCCTGGAGGTTCCAGCAGCTGGACTTCCCAAGGGCACCGTTCCCTCCGTCCCTGCTGCACTTCACCTTCCCATTCAATTACGTGTGCGCCTGCAGCTCGTGTGTGGTGTTTACAACCTGGCCTCTGACTCCAGCTGTACCCTTTGCACAGAAAATAGCATAAAAGCAAAAGCATTTAGGAGACGGGGGTTTCAAACGCCTGACATAAAATGGTCTCTCCACAGAATATCTCGTGCCAGACATCTCCTGCTTAGTGTCTGGGTAGGAGACTCGTCCCCACCTGGCTCCCTGGTGCTCTTGGTCCAGGCTGGCTGCTCTGCCTCGAGTTTCAGGGAACTTGTCCCTAGAGACGGAGAGCTGCAGATGGCCGGGGTTGGGTTTTCCCCAAGATTCCCCAAGGTTGGGTCCCCTGGCATCCAGGGAAGGTGATGTGGGGCCCATGTGTACCCAGTTTTCCATCTATAAGGTGGACACAGCAATAGCACCGGCCCTCCTGGGGGGACATGCAGTGGGGATCGGTGGGAAGCACCAGACCAGCCACATGGCGTCTCTGCTGGGCTCCTCTGTCTGCAGCTGCCAAGGTGGTGCACGGTGCAGCCTCACGACTCCTCCCTGGGGGTTGCTGGGAGACTCCTGGGGCTAATGTGTGTGAAACTGCTGCTTAAGAACAACTGCTACCATTTGGAGCCATTTTCTCCATCTTTCATACTTACGATCTCACATGATATCAGATGAGGAAACAGGTTCAGAAAAGTAAAGTGACTTTCTCAAGGTCACACAGCCTCCAAGGATAGAGCCGAGTGAGAAGGAACTCAGGGCTTTCAGACCCCAGAGCCAGTTTCCTTAGGGCTGCAGCCTCCAACAGGGGACCTGGGGCTCTGAGGGTCCCTGGAAGTCACATGGGAAATGTAGTGGGTCACTGCAGTTTTCTGGAGGGGGCTTCTGGCAAACTGGGCTCATCAGCAGCTCCATCCCTGGATCCCCCCCAGGGAAGGACAGGAAGAGGGCCAGAGCACGAGCTGGTGCTGTCTAGGGTGAGGGTGGTGAGCTCTGCGTGGACGTGGCCTTTCCGGAACACACCGTCCATGCTCCTAAATGGTGAAATGGAATTCTGAGTCCTCAGGGTGGAGGGAGGTGGAAGAAAAGGAAGAAATAGGAGAGGGAGAGGGAGAGGGAGGGCTGTGGTGGCCCCCGCCTGGGTTTACTTCTCCTGCTGGCTGTTGACAGAGCCCCCCTGCAGCAGGTGCAGGCTGGTGAACACTCAGGCTGATTCATTAGTTTCTGACCATCTGCTTCCTGGGGGCCACTGGGCCCTGCAGGTTGGGACAGAGGCACATTGGTGGCAGCCAGGTGGAGCCCCGTCTCCTGGCAGAGCCGGCTGCAAGTCTTCCCTTGGCAGACAGGCTGCCGGGAGCAGAAGGGGCTCTGAGGGGTCCCATGTCCCCCTCCCCAGGGACCATCAAAAGAGTGGGCATTGGTCTGGGGTCGTGGCTCAAGTGGTAGTGCGCTCGCCTGGCATGCGTGCGGCCCGGGTTCGATCCTCAGCACCACGTACAAACAAAGATGTTGTGTCCGCCGAAAACTAGAAAATAAAAATATTTAAAAAAAAAAAAAGAGTGGGCAGGGCAGGGGACGGGAAGGCAGGGGGATGGAAGAGGGACCAGGGAGACTAGGTGTGGCTGACTCACTGCCGTTGCGGTTAACAGGAACACTGGCACTCAACATGAGACCATTAGCATCACTACAGTTACCATCGTGTCATTAATTAGCTACTAAGCTAATTAATATAACAATAATAGGAGCCACGATCTAGTGGGCAGTCTCCAGGTCCAGGCCCTTCACGGAGGCCTCACTGTCTCAGGGGAGGGAACTGGCTCACGGACTGAGTCAGGTAATCAGGGCCACCCGGAGGGCCCTGAAAACAGGGAGAAGGGACAGTGGCCAAGAATCAGAAGCCCTGAGGTAAGAGGGGGCGTGGGAGCCAGGGGACAGCTTCAGTGCTGGGTTGAGAGGAGCTTGCAGGCCAGCGCATGCCCCTGGTCAGGCGGGCAGAGAAACCCAGCTGTGGAAGAGGCCCAGCGATAGCCTCTGCCCGCCCCTCTTGTTCTCCCAGGAGGGGCTGCTGTGAAAAGTGCCACAGACCCAGTGGCTTCGGCGACAGAAAGGTGTCCCTGCTGGGGGCTGAAGTCCCGGGTCAAGGTGCTGGGAGCCTGGTTCCTCCTGAGGCCGCTCTCCAAGGCTCACAGGTGGCCTTGTCTCTGCGGGCCCTAGTATTTCTGGGTGCCCACACTTGCTCTTGTTAAACAGACCCATCCGGCTGGAGAGGCCCACCCCTCATTTAATTCAATTGCCTCTTTAAAAACTCTGCACCCAGATGGTCCCGTTCTGAGGTACCGGGGACTAGGGTACCAACACGTGGATTTGAGGAGACACAAGTCAACTCCTAAGAAGGCAGGGGGCGGGGGCAGCAGAATAGGGAGGCGCAGGGCACAGGGCCTAGTGCAAACTGTGCCCAGCCCCAGAGCCGGGGCAGCTCTCAGGGCGTCTGCCCGGGGCTCCTCCTCCTACCAGCACAACGCTCGGTCTGCCCCTGGACTTGTGCCCTCCCTGGCTGCTGTCCCTCACAGGCAGGCCCGTCTCACCCCAGCGCTCTGCCTTCTCATCACCAGGCCTGGCCTTGGCCACCCCCAGGGCCTCCAGTCCTCCTCATTCAGGACCGCAGCGCAGGATGGGCTGTGACTGGCCTCGTCACAGGTGTCAGCCGGAGCAGCCCTCTACCTGCCATGGTGACAGTAAGCTCACCGCAGTGTTGGTCCCTGAAGCTGTGCAGGGCAGGAGGGGGAGGAAGAGGGGCACCAGGCAGGGCAGGAGCAGGTCCGAGGCACCCGTCCTGCCTGCCCTGGGGCTCAGTTTCCCCATCCGATCAGTGAGTGTGGACTCAAGGGTGAGTTCTTTGTACCCCAAAGTGTGCAGATCCCATGAATCAGCAGGGACAGGCCACGTGGAGTGGGCAATGCCACCATGGGGTACCAAGGACATATCTATTTTAGTCAAAGAGAGTTTTGTGGATCCTGCCTCAGTGAACCCCTGGGCTGGCCCTGCCCACTGAGGGGCCCTGGGCCGTCTGGGAAGCGGTCCTCCACTCCCGAGGATCAAAGCCATGGCCAGAGGCAGGCTGCAGTGCCACCAGCAGGGGCAGCAGGGGTGCCAAGTCAGCCCTTCAGAAGGTGATGTATCCGCTCCCCCCCCAGGGGGCCAAATGGCTCATTTGCGAGTGAGAGGTTTTTAACTCAGATCCAAGCCATTTTGCCTCTGAGCAAACCAGACACCTGAAATATTTATCAAAGGGCTGTAAGTGGTCTGAGGCGCTGTGCGGTTGTTAGTGACCGTGAGTTGTTTTTTTTTTTTTTTTTTTCTTTTCTTTTTTTTAATTAATAGATCTTATTTTTTAGAGCAGTTTTAAGGTTGCAGAAAATTAAGCGGAGAGCACAGAGTGCCTAACACCCCGCGTCTTTCCACCCTGACGGTCTCCCTGATGTGATATTATTGGTGTGGGGCTGGGCTCTTCCTGATGCCCAACCAGAGGCTCTGTGATGGCAGGCAGACATCTGGGCGCACCGGCAGGGGCTGGCTGTGGGGCTTCCCAGGCCCTGGCAGCCCGCCCACCCTGGCCTCCTCTCTGCCCCGCAGGAGAACCCCTACCTGTGCAGCAACGAGTGTGACGCCTCCAACCCCGACCTGGCGCACCCGCCGCGGCTCATGTTCGACCGGGAGGAGGAGGGGCTGGCCACCTACTGGCAGAGCATCACGTGGAGCCGCTACCCCAGCCCGCTGGAGGCCAACATCACCCTGTCGTGGAACAAGAGCGTGGAGCTGACCGACGACGTGGTGATGACCTTCGAGTACGGCCGGCCCACGGTCATGGTCCTGGAGAAGTCCCTGGACAACGGGCGCACGTGGCAGCCCTACCAGTTCTACGCCGAGGACTGCATGGAGGCCTTCGGCATGTCCGCCCGCCGCGCCCGCGACATGTCGTCCTCCAGCGCCCACCGCGTGCTGTGCACCGAGGAGTACTCGCGCTGGGCGGGCTCCAAGAAGGAGAAGCACGTGCGCTTCGAGGTGCGGGACCGCTTCGCCATCTTCGCCGGCCCCGACCTGCGCAACATGGACAACCTGTACACGCGGCTCGAGAGCGCCAAGGGCCTCAAGGAGTTCTTCACCCTCACCGACCTGCGCATGCGCCTGCTGCGCCCCGCGCTGGGCGGCACCTACGTGCAGCGCGAGAACCTCTACAAGTACTTCTACGCCATCTCCAACATCGAGGTCGTGGGCAGGTAAGGCCCCCTGGGGCGCTGCTGTCACCGGTGCCTGGGACATTACCTGGTTCCCCAGGGGTACCTGGTGCCTGGGATGGTATCCGATACCCAGGTGGGTACCTGGTACCTGGATGTCACCTGGTACCTGGAATATTACCTGGGAAATTATCTGATACCCAGGATGGTACCTGGCACCTGGAACATTACCTGGTACCCAGGATGTTATCTGGTTGCTGGGACATCACCTGAGTCCCAGGATGTTACCTGGCCCAGGACATTATCTGTAACCATGGCCACTAACTGATTACTGGGCTGTTGCTTTCTGGATGTTACCTGGTTCCAGGGACACCATCTTGATCCTGGCATGTTACCTGGTTTTGAGGATGTTACCTGCTGGGATGCTACCAGGTGTTAGCCAAGGGGACGGCTTCTGACTCCTGAGGCTGTGCACACAGAAGCCTAGGTTTCAATCGGGGAGGTGCTCCTGTGGATGAGAGTGTCTCCTGGGGCCTAGGGACAGTGGAACTGGCAGCATGGGTGAGGCTGAGCTAAAGCCTGGTGCTGAAGTGCAGGGGATGTCCATGGAGTCAGTGGGCACTTGTGTTCAAGGGTCCTCAAGACCCCCCCCCCCAGGCTCACTAGAAAGAACTCTGCAAAGCCATTATGCTTGAGGTTATAGTTTGTTACAGCAAAAGGAGACAGACCGAAAGCAGCAACGGAAGAGAGTCCAGGGTGGGACCAGGAGACACCAGGTACAAGCTTAGGGCTCTCCTCTCCTAGCAGAGGCATGCCAGCAGCGTGGAATCCCACCAGTGAGGTGTGACCATGGTGTGGTCCATCAGCAGCCAGGGAAGCTGGCCTTAGTCTTGGCATCCAGGGTTTAACTAGGGGTTTGATCACATCTGCATGGCTAGATGCCTGTGTGGTTGACCTTAGTCTCTGGACTCTCCAGAGGTCAAACTACATGGCCCAAGACCCCACCAGAAGTCATATCACTAGCATAGACTCTGCTGTGCCTCAAGACCTCAGGAGAACATAGCCAGGATGCTCCAAAGGCTTGGAAGTTACACATCACCTCCAGGGGCTGGGCCAGGGTCAGACCTTTCTTGGGAACACAGGGTGTGGGCAAGTTAAAACTACTAGCTCTCGATGCACAGTTCTGGAAAAGGATGTGTTTTGAGGACACTTTGTGGGGAGGCAAGACTCATGGAAGGCAAGCACCACCTGTGATTCTCAGAGCTGTTGTTTAGACTGTGGGTGTAGGTGACCAACTGGTTCTGCACGTCCCAGGCCGTTTGTTTATTTGGCAGATGCTCTGCTGGTCTGCAGGGGCAAGGACCTCATCCCTGAGCCATCTGTAGAGGGGGCTGCTGATTCTGCCTCCTGTGGATCGTGATGAGGGTGAATGAGTTTAAGTTGGTGAAGTGCTCAGAACAGGGCCTGACACACAGTGCATGCTTAAAAAAAAAAAAAGTATTGAATAAAATATATACTGGCCAAAATAATGGCATGAAAGGACTGGGGCAGGCTGAGGGAGGCCCGGGGGTGTTGAAGCATAACTGGGGCCAGGAGCACAGTGTCAGTGGGCGTGGGCGGGGGCTACACCCAGAACCCAGCTGGGACAGCAGGCCCTGGGCATGCCTCCACAGCAGCTCTAAGTACTAACCAAGTGTGTAATTCCTCACAAGGGGGAGAGCGATTTGCTGCATGGTGTGCATAGCATAATCCTATTTTCGTACAGTATGTAATAGGCCTGTGTGTATAATTTCCACATCTTAAACAGGCCTTGCAAAGAAGCAGGTCTGGGCTCAGGCAGAGCTTTCCGGTGTGGGGGAAGCTGGCCGCCCATTGGCTGGCTGGCGACAGGCACGATCTGTGAGTGGGTGGGCAGGGCCAGTGCGGCCTCCTGTTTTCGCTTGTTTGCGTTTTGTTTTACTCTGTTTTGCGGTGCTGGGGATTGAACCCTGGGGATCTCTGCCTCTGAACTACACCCCCAGCCCTTATTTATTTTTAAATTTGAGATAGAGTGGCTTTGAACTTGTGATTCTCCTGCATGGGCCTCCAGAGTCGCTGCGACCACGGGCGCGCCACCGAGCCAGGCTCGTTTGATTTCACTCTGACGATGTGTGTGGATTCCGTGGACAAAGGCAAAGGGAGACGTTTGTGGAGTCGCCAGGTTCAAGGCTGGCAGACCAGGGGAAGCAGGTACACCCACAGGGGTCTGTTTGGACCCCCATGTTCCTAGCCTTCCCTAAGTTCTACAGGAACTTGAAAGCGGATCTGGAAGCCACCTGTTGATGAGCACTTTTGGGAAGCCGGGGGCCCCGGGTTTGGTCTCTGGTCTTCCTTGTGACCTACGACCTCTGCCCTTGGAATGCATTGCACAGTCCAAGGTTGGTCAAGGCTCGCCCTCCCCAGCCGGCTGAGCAGAGTCATCGCCTGTTTTCTGGCCAGCCTTGAGCTGCCACAGGGGACCCTCATCTTCTCAGCCTGTCCAAGGCCCTGCCCTACACTTCCTTTGAGGTTCATGCAGCCTCCTGATGTCTGGGCCAGCTGCTGGGCCAGGCTGGGATGGTGAGAGTCGGGGCCCTTGTGGGGTACCTTAAACCTCTGCAGAGTGACCACCTTTCTGGGGTTCAGGGCCCACCCCTCTCTAGGCCTCGGTGTCCCATCTGTGACAAGAGGACAGGGGTTGCCCAGAGCCCGCATCTCCCTGGTGAGGCTGCAGGTGACCCCTGCCCACAGCTCCTCTGGGCACCCAGCCTCGCAGCGCCCGATTCGATCCACAGGTGGAGTAAGTACTCTTCAGGCAGCTGGTTGGCAGGAGCGGCAGCGTGGTCATGGATTAATCAGGTCTGGCTGGGTGGTTTGGCGGAGGCTGTGACTTCCTCATCTTTCCTTCTGGGAAAGCCCCCTGTGCCGGGAATCAGAGGACCCCAGGACAAAGGAAGCAGGGCGGGGCCTGACAGATGATGCCTGCCGTGTTCCTGAGTGTTCTCAGTTTCTGGGATCGCAGACTGAGACTTTCCTGGGATTCCCTTAGAATTCCATGGTCCCTGTGCCCCCCACTGTGGCCTGCTGGTAATCTGGAAATATCATCGAACATTTGCTGTGGGATCATTTGCTCTTCGGTGCTGTGTGAAGGGCTTCGTGTATAGTTTCTTGTTTGATCAATATTCATTTAATTCCCTGATGGTTCCTGGGGGCCTACGATCCCACAAGCTGAGGAAAAGCATTGAACAAGCCGGACCTGACCCCTACCCTGTGGAGCTCTCCCTGCAGGGACAGGGCTCCCCTCAGCCTGATGTTTTCGGAAGAGGAATCGCTCAGCTAAACTAAGCGTCAGACACCAAGACCCAAACCCAAGCGCGTCCAAGCTCAGGGGTTTCCACGGTTGAGCCTTCTCTGGCCACGTGCTGGCCCCGTGGGCTCCTCCGCTCGGGCCCCAGCTCCGAGTCGTCCCCTCCTACACTCAAGAAGTTTGTATTGGGGACCATCTCCCTGGCCTCTCCGCCGGAGTCCACAGTCCTTTGATTCAGATGTGGCTCCTTGATCTGTCACATAAGCCGTCCAGCTCGGAGGGGGACTGGATGGCCGGGAGGCAGGACAGGAATGACAGAGACACTGAGCTGCGGGTGGGGAGGGGGCCTGACCGGCTGGAGACCCAGGGCCCTGGAGCATGGGGAGCTAGTGCAAGTTGGGGGACCAGAGGAGAGGGGGCGGACTTCCCCACGGGGGGAGGCCAGCGCCACGGCACAGAGAAACTCAGCCACCTGCACCTCCAGCCCCGCCCGCCTCCCTCCCCCCTGCAGGCCCTGGGGGCGGGTGGGGGGTGGTGGCTGGCTTTAAACTCTGCAGCTAGTCTGGAGGGACATCTGGACCTGAGAAGTGAGGTCACCCCTCACGGTGGGAGGAACAAGGACAGAGCCCTGCCCAACACAGAGGACCACCAGGGTCTTCCAGCAGAGCCTCCTGTGACAAGACCCCCACTCCTCCCAAAGGGCTTCCGTCTGGTAGGTTTGGGGGAGCTCCAGGCAGCCGTGCCGATAGAACTCTTCAAGGGGCCCGACGGTTGGGAATGGCCAAGGAGAGTGGCTGGGCGGCCCCGACCTCTCTGGGTCTGCAAAATGGGGAGAGAGCAGTGACCTCCACAGGTGTTGAGAAGAGTCAGTGACCTGCTGTGTTTATCGAGCTGCATGATCCCGTGTCCCTTCCCTGGCTTACATGGCAGGAGAGCGGGAGGGAGAGGCTCAGTGACAGGCGTGCCGGAGCATGCGACAGCCACGTGACCCAGACACTGGCGCTCAGGAAAGGTGTGTGGAAGCTTCTTGGGTTAGTGGGTGTCGCAGACCCAAATATCCACAGGGGTGGGAGACGTCAGAGAAACGGCCCAGCAGAGCAGTAGGGAAGGGTGTGGTCTGTGGGGAAATGGAGCTGGCAGGCCCCTCACGGGAGGGGAGGGCAGAGCCAAGTTTGCCAGATCTTCTGATGTCACAAGAGAAAGCACACGACTTTTTTTTTTTTTTTTTGGTCCCAGGGATTGAGCCCAGGGGTGCTCAACCACTGAGCCCCACAGCCCTTTTTGTATTTTATTTAGAGACAGGGCCTCACTGAGTTGCTTAGGGCCTCACTAAGTTGCCAAGGCTGGCTTCGAACTTGAAATCCTCCTGCTTCAGCCAGGAGTAGGTCACCGAGCCCGGCAAGTGCACAGCTTTTTAAGAAAAATTCTGAAACTGTTCAAGTAAAACAAAATGCTGCTCAACCCCAGGCCTCACGCGCTGCCTGGCAGCCTCGCTTGGGAAGCCCTGGGTCTTCTTGGAGCCGTGGCAGCAGCCACGCTCAGCGGGCCCACGGCAGGGCTGGCTGCGGCAGCCGGGGCTCCGCGTCGGGGAGTGGCAGGGAAGCGGGCTGGTCTTTTCTCTCCCCCGGCCTTGCCTCTGAGGCAAACTCCTCTGCCCAGAACCAGCCTCACGGGGCCTTTGCCATCCAGGGACAAGAGGGAATGGGTCCCCCGCTCT